AATTTTTGAATAGAAATTAAATTAAATTTTAACTGAGGCACATGATAAACAGATTTTAAAAGTAGAGATCGACCAGACGAGGGTAGGAGCACATCACCAACTTTACTAATGGGTAATTGTTCACCATTGGCAACACTAATAGAAGTAGAGCCAGAGTAAGCAGATTTATTTAACAAAGTACCTTCAGATGTCGTCATGTGTGCAGATGCCCCGGAATCGGGATACCACAAAGCAGGATTAGTTTCCCCAAGTGTAGTCATTAAGGCTGGCACAGAGGGCTGGGAGAAACGAGATGGACAGGTGATGACAGAGTGACCTATAGAAAAACAAATCTGACAAACAATAGGAGGAGGGACGGATCCCAGAATACCCCCATCTGACGGAAAGCCTGCAAAACCATAGTTAGTAACACAAACAGGTAAGACATGAATATCTAAATGTGACACAGAAGAATTACTAATAACAGTACCGTTAGTGTGATTATGCTAATACGGAGCACCCCCTGTATGAGAGCCTGTTGTAGCAGCGCGAGGACCACCAGAAGTCGGACCCGCCATGCCACCATACCCCTGTGGTGGAAAATATCCCTGCTGACCGTACTGGTGTGGCTGACGTCCACGACCACAGCCCCCACGGCCACGCGAACCTCGTCCTCGGTCACCTCGACCACGGGCAGCCGGCGCAGGAGATTGTGGAGGGCCTCACGGTGGCTGAGTCTGTGCTGCAAATGCCTGATGAGGAGCTAAAAGTTCTTGTTGGCGAAAATATTGTTCCCGTTGCTCAAGCTCAACGAGGTGATTCTGAAGTGTTTCAAAGGGAAAATGTTGGGAAAATAAAGACAAGGTGTTGATCAAAGATGCATATTCCCTTCCTAACCCCATAATAATAGACTTGAGCATATCGGTGTTAGAGACGGAACAATTAATACATGGAAGGTCATCAACCAAAATCTTAACTTCCCACAAATAGCTATCCATGGACTGATCAGGTTTCTTTTTAATAGTATTTAACATATGTTTCACTTCCATAGACCTAGCTAAACTGGCAGACATAAATCTGGACTCCAATCGTGCCCAAATCTCAACTGAGTGTTTCAAATCACGTACATCAATAAGACCATCACGAGATAATGTGGCAAATAACCAGGAACGTATAGTTTGATCTATACGCAACCATGATGAATACTCGGGATTGGGAATTTGACGATTGTATAGGTCTATGGAATGAATAGAAGGTACCTGAATTGAGCCATCCACGAGTCCCAGAAGGCCTTGAGAGACCAGAAAAGACTCGAACTGAGTGCGCCAGGTGCTGTAATCTTCAACCGCTTGCAATTTGGTAGTTACTATGTTAGTAACGTTGGTTGCCACATGAGATAAGGTATGGACCAAATCTGCCATGGGAGAATTGGAGGCAGGGGTGGTGTGGCTCGAGTGACTGGAACTGTGGATGAGACACCGGGAGAGCCAACAAACGTTGGTCCGGCAAATTGGACGACCAGAGGCGCAGAGAAGAGAGGCGACGGGTCCAGGGAAAGCTGCGGCACAAGAATTGGCGCTGACCATGGAAAATCTGGAGGAATCGTCGGAAAGAGTCCGTGACTCTGCACTAGACCTCGCGTCGGTAAAGCGAAGGAGGACGCCGAGATAGCTGCGGTGCCTGGAAGGACGACGGAGGGATGTGGTCTGGACGAAGACGAGAAGGCAGATGTCGAGGAGTAAACTGGGGCGCTTGTACATGCGCTGGCCGACACGGAAACGGCGGTGAAGATGTGGAAGATGACGCTGTAGCGGTGGAAGCCATGGTAGGAGGCGAAGCGGCGATCCCAAGGAAGAAGAGAACGGCAGAAATAAAATTGGGAATTAGGTTTCCCCAACTCGTGATACCATGTGAGAGAATGGAACAGGTTACCCCGTTATGGAGTCTGACAGATATATTTATAATGATAATTAATGTTTAAAGTACATAAATGACCCTAGTCTATTATATCTCTCTTCTCTTTTTCATTTTTCTCTACACACCACTCCAATCAACTCCATTGGAGAATGGAGATGCCCTTTGTTCAAATAAAAAAAAGGTTTTCAATATATCTTTGTCATTTCCGTACACAAAACAATGAAAACTTCTCTGGCAGACAGTCAGGCTCGGATATATGCGTACCGGTGTAATTGAGGGAATAATTTTACCAGTTAGATTCGATCCCCTCAAATCAACAACCAACTCAATTTTTGAGTATGTTGATAATATAGAAATTGAGTCAATCCATATATTTATTGTATTGAAATTTTTGAAGTTTTGGTTAAAGTGGTTGGATGATCTGATTCCGTTCAATTATGAAAAAATTATATTTAAAATATGTTTTATTAATAAAATAAAAAACAAATTATATGAAAAAAGTAAGGAAATTTTTGATTTTGCACCTCATGTGTTCGGGTGATATTTGACTTTACGCCGTGTTTTTAAATTCATTAATATATGCCACATCAATCCAAAAATTATGAAAGAGTTAGGTGTAAAGTCAAATGATTTTATAGTGAATTAGGGTGCATACATTAATGATTTTAAAAATAGGGTGCAAACTCAAATATCACATAAAATATGGGATGCAAAGTCAAATTCTTCCAAAAAATAACTAGAATGATCCTCTACAATAATTTCAATCAATTCAGTCGAAAAGTACTCCAATTTTGCTTATTTTGTTTATTACAGAACCAAGCATATGAATTCAAAAGTTGATAAAAAGTTGACTAATAAAATCGGTAAGCTAAAAAATGGGATCATCAAATGAGCTTGTTAGGAATATTGTTAAGCCCTAGTTCTCAAACAATCAAACAACCATAACAGATAAAGAAGAAGCAGATAGAAAGATATCGAGATGAAACCAAATCTGGTATACCGTGAACTGACCGCTACTTTCCCTCGAGAAGAAGAGCAGCGGAAAACCTACTCTCTATCTCGCCTCTATGCTCTCAGCCTTACCATCCTTGGATTCTTAGGGTTTCCATAAGTTAGCCTCATTTTATAGGAGAAGTTGGTTAACTTATGAGTTACAAAGAAGCTAATGAGCTGATATACATTTGTGGCCCATATTACACGTTTAACTAATAACTACACAAATACAAAGATATTTAATTAGATTATATTGGACACCATAAAATATTCCTAACAATCTCCCCCTTGGTGTTCAATCATGTTGAATCAGCATTGCAACACAAATATCTTTGTCTTTGTTGTTATTCAGCTTCCTTTGTCTTTGAACTTGACTTCTTGAGAAGGCTTTCTGAAGAAATTCTTGCAATCTCCCCTTTGATGTCTTCTTGGCAATTTGAGCTTTGATACAGGGGGTTGAGGAATGTTCCTTTGGATTGCTTGTAAACCTTGCATTCAGAAGTAGCTCTTGATCAGCTTGAATGAAGTCCGGTGGCGCCTCTAGAATGATAGTTCTGATGATTTGCAGGTGCGCACGGAATTCATCTTCAGTATGCGAGTATCTGACCCTTTTCTCTTCCACAATGTAGTCTTTTTGACTATTCGAAGTGAATCTCTTTGAGGAGACCTTGTCGATGGCACAACGGAAAAAGATGGTTGACTTGTGAGCGTAGCTGGCCATTTGAGGTGTAGAGATAGAAGAGAGTCGTTGGGCAAGATGCAGTGACTTCTACCCAGGATCTGATTAAATCAGTCTTGAACCTATTTGGGAATTGTCCTGAGTATTTGAGTGGCATGGAGTAAATGTTCAATTCATAGCAGGCAGTTGAGGTAACAGACTCATCATTGATTATTGTTTTCTTGCTCACTTGAGCATTCTGCTTCCTAACGCTCATAATGTTCACTCACTCACTCACTCACTCTCGGCTTTGTCCTTTGGGTAGGCTTAGTTGAGTTTACTAAGCCATAGGGACATGTTCTCTCATTGATTTTCTCTATGTACTCCCCCTTAACTGGAGCACTCGGTTTGCTTTGTCAATGTTAGGCACCGGGGAGGAGAGCATTGAACCCCCCCTCCCTAAAATGTTGCATCCTTTGAGAGATTCCTTGCTTTGTTGGTGTAAGGCGCCAGGAGAAGAAAACTGAAACCCCCCCCCCCCCCCCCCCCCCTCAGAATGTGCAAGGTTTGATTGCTCACAGCTCGTCATACCCGCCATGTGTGTGGAGCAATCTGAATAGGTACAACACATGACGGTTTCCCTTAGCTCATCATTTGGAATTTCAGCACGTTTGAGGATCACACAATGTTGATGAATTAGGGGAGGCTTTAGTAGTTGATTGTTGATTGTTGTAAGATGACCGTTGACGCGAGGTTGATTGAATTATCTACAATTTTTGGACCTCTACAATGAAGTTTAAAAAGGATTTGACATTTGGTTTGAATTTGGAAGAATTTGATCAGATTTGCCTAAGTTTTGACCTTGACATCGATGATTTACAATGTTTGTCGGGAAGTGAACGATATCTCCCTCAAGAACCGCGAGTGAGGGCGCATGGTTGGGGGTTCTGGGGTAAACCCTTGGAATTCATGTAGATCTTTTCGTTAGCTTTACAACTACATATTATACACCTAAATCGGATCACCGAGTCAAAAGTTATGGTCAAAATAGTGCGATGTCGTTGAAAACTTCGAATTTTGAGATATTTGAGGAAATTCTTCGAAGTTGAGGTTCTCGATGTTGAATATCGAGAACAGGTGGAATTAGAGAAAATTTTATGACAAAACCTCGAAATCCTAATCTCGAGGTTTAAACTTCGAGATTACAATCTCGAAAGATTACAAATGTCGAGGTTTATATCAAGATTACAATCTCGAGGTTTAAACTTCGAGATTACGATCTAAATGCCAAACTCCCAATACAACAGGAATGAAAGTCCAATTTCCATAGTTGATGAAAATAAATTACAAGTAATAATTGTTGAGATAAAATTAGGATAATTTCATAATCATGTATCACTAATAAATCACACTCAATCCGTGCCAAACACAAATCACAATCTTCTTGTCTACGTAGTAATAAATTTCGCCTCACATGTGCATAGAGACAAACCTTTTTCAGACATTACTTTTCTCCATTTTGTTTTATTTTATTTTATTTTTCTGATTTTCTCCACTCTCCCCTCCCAGGGAAAAAACTGACCTGTTGTTTCATTTTCAAATTTGTTCTCTCTATTTTCTCCTTTTTCTCTCTCTTGGCGTTTGGTTTTTCAGCGGTTTTCGGTGGTTCATCTCTCACTGTCTCTGCGGATTTCCGGCTCCGATTACCTGGTAATACTTTCCATCATACTTCACCTCTTCACTTCACTTTTAATCTTACCTCTGTGTGAAAGAGTTTGCTGGATTGAGAATTCTTCTTCTTCTTCTGCGCTGGATATGTATGTTTTGATGCTAAGTTTACTTGATCAGTCATGCTTCATTGTTTCTATGTTCTGATCCTTTCTTTCATCTACCGTTTTTGTCTACATTCGTACATGAATTTGGAGCTTTACTGCAACTTTTCTGCGGTGAAGCTGTAAGTTCGAAGGGCGTTCAGGTGTTATATATGCAATTTTTAGTTTTATGCTCTCTGGATGTAGTACCCAGTGTTAACAGGAAAATCGAGCTGGTTTCTGTATGTTCTATGTATTCTGTAACTTTTGGTTGAAGAACATGAAGGGATTCATAGCTTTTAATTTGTGCGCGTATTCGTTGTCAATTGTCACGGTAAAGGAGTAATAAATTTGTCCATTTTCTTCTTCTTTTGGCTGGATTGGGAATTATAATTATAAATTTACTAATCAGGGATCTAATTCTGCGCCTAATCTGGGCCGAGAAAAACGAGGGATCTATCTTATCTAGATCCCCAAAAGTACTGTATATGTTCTGAATATACCTATATAAGCTATAATCACGGTGGGGAAAAAAATCTATTTACTGAAAGTAAAGAAGAAAGCGTTTTATTTTATATTGTGAAAAGGAATTTGAGGTGTGCCACACTTTCAGGAAAAGCACTTGAAAAGGTAGAGATAATAGATACGTAGTATTTGAAAGAAAAAAATTACCTATGTATCAGTAAAAATACTAGGATGGGGATGGAACATGGAAATTAAAATAGAAATCAATCATTTACTTTTGTGAATGTCTGAACTGGTGACATCTTAGGTGGCTTTTTGAATAGGATGGAGCTTAGAAAAGAACAGGCTGTCAGGTCATGTCCGTCTTTTCTGTTTAAATAATCATTGTATACCTTAGAGAAATTTGGAATGACCAAATCAAAATGTGTCGATTCTAAAGCAACAAGCTCTATCAAAAGCTATCACCCACCTCGTTCCCCATTAGCAATATGCTTAGGATGCCTATTTTTTCTTCCTAATGAACCTCACCTATGCTCGGCTGGACCAGCTTATACCCTCACCTATGCTCCGCTGGACTCTATGTCTCCGTGCCTAGCTTCTATTCTTTTTATGACATTGATGATAGTATGCTAAAATCCCAGGTGGTGTTATGGTTAGATGGAGCTTAGTAAGAGCAGGTTGGTAGACCTTTGCATAGGTCTCACTAACCATGTATGTAAACATTAGTATCACCTTAACTTGAATACCTATACCAGACTAACCACATATTTTATTATCAATAATTCTTGGTGTACACCTTCTTATACACATCAGTACACCCTCGTATCTGGGAGAGTTCTTTTTTGTCTGTGAATCTCAGTTCACAGACAAAGACAAAAACAGGCTTGTTAAAAAAAAACTCTCACAGACACGGTGTACTGATGTGTATAAGAAAGTGTACAAAGGGAATTTTTGTTTTATGATTATATGTTTAGTTTTCCTTATATATGGTTTGTGAAGTATTTATGGAGCTGAACTTGTAAATATTGAGGTGCTGTGGTCTACTAGTCCTCCAACTTCCTTTTAATATTTTCCCACAGCTGAACCTGCAAACTAACCTTGTCTCTTGACCTGTTACTCTATTCGTTAGTGATTCATGTCATGTGCCTAACAGCTATCTACACACACATTTTCATATATCGTGCATAGTTAATAGGTAATTTATACGTAGTAGTTTATTTAGTTTTCTCCCCACTAATGGTCTAATGGATATATAGCTGCTTTATGGTCATCATATTCACTAAATCATGCTAATCAATGATCAGTGTTACTTTTTTGTGCTAGGCGCACCGCATTATGTTGAAGCAGTTTGTGCATCGATATTCTCATATTTCTCCTTGTTCTGAACTCGTATTTAATAAGATTCAATAGATTTCCTTATGAAACGCCAACACACCCAATAAGAAATATTCTTCTTTAAGCTTTGCCTGGGAGTCTGGGACACAGAAAATGGTATGCAGAAGAAAGAAGCGCCAAGGATTTATTTTAATGTTTGAGAGAAGAAAATGGCTTTTTCCTTGGAGACAAGAAGGAAAATCAAATTTGATTAAAACTTTTTAAAAGCTAACTTATACTAGTATATTAAGATTTATTACTTATATACGGAGTATTTTAAAAGTTAACTTTTTTATTTATATATTAAAATATATAAATAAAATGATTGTGAACAATTATCTGAAATTTATTTTTTGAGTTTAACCCAACTTTAATATTCCCCAATTTTTCTTTCCTTCCCAACTCCCACCCCGTGTTTCCTCATTTTCTTTCCATATCATTTCCCCATATATGCTTCTATTGTCCTGTACTAGTGTATTATCCAACTTATATGCATTCACCGTTCTGTCTACCAGGCTGCAGATGTGGCCTGTCGGTGTTCGAGATTGATGCAACCTCCATTCTGAAGCCAAAGTTAGTGATTGAATAACATAAAAAGATGCCAAAACACCGCTTCAGGGAAAGAATAAAGTCTTACTTTGGGAGTCATATTGATCATGAAAAAGATGAGGAGCTGAGAGGAGCTAAAGAAAGTAATATGTTATTTATTTAGTGGCTAGTTTACAATAAGGTTTATTTAGAAACTTCATCAAACTAATGATTTGAAACTTTGTTACTGTAGCTGTTGAAGACAAAGTTCAGAAAATCTTAAGCCTTCTGAAAGAAGAGGATGGCAGAGATGGAAAAGAACCGCTGGTTGATTTAGTTAGGGATTTCCACACCCATTACCAATCCCTTTACCATCGCTATGATAGTCTTACAGGATATATTAGAAATAAGGCACATGAAAAAAAGAACATGCAGGAAAACTCTTTTTCTTCTAGCTCTGATTCTGATTCAGGTTGCGATGATTCTTCTCATGGTAAAAAGGACAGTAAAAATGTAGAACTGGAAATTGCAAATATAGAAGTTGCTGAGTTGAAGACGAAGTTGACATCTGCCATGGAAGAAAAGGAAGTACTGCAATTGGAATACCAACAAGCTTTGAACAGATTGCAAGAAGCGGAGAGAACCATTATAGAAATAACCGATACTGTTGAAAAACAGGAGGGAGAGAGATTAAAAGTCGTGGAGGATAATGCAGATCTCAGCTTACAGTTGGAGAAAGCTTGCAAACTAGAAGCCGAACTAAACCAGAAGCTAGAGGAAATAAAACAAGAGAGAGCTGGCATTATTTTTGGCTTTGAAGAGGGGAAGAGAACTATTGAGGATTTAAAGAATGTCATTCTTCAGTTAAAGGACGAAAAAGAAACCATACAAGGGGAATTTTCTATGCTGCAGCAGAAACTTGACACCTCTGAAAGAGAAATAACTCAGCTAAATCAGGCACAAAGGATAGCAGAAGAAGAAAACCGGTCTCTATTCTTGAAAATCGCAGATTTAAAGGAAACATTGTCTGCAAAAGAGAAGGATCATTCAGTTCACAAGGAGATGCTGGAGTCTCAATATATCGAAGCTTCTTCCCGATTTAAAAGCTTAGAAGCACACATCAAGGAAATAGAAAGAGAGAGGGATGAGTTTGTTGCACTGATGAAGAACCAGGAGGAAAAGGAGAGGGATTCGTCATCTCAAATAGAGGTTCTGACAACAAAGACTACCAATTTGCAGCTTGAGATTGAATTTTTGCATACACAGAAAGCAGAGCTGGAGGAAATACTGGCGAATAAATCTCGTGAAATTTCTGAGTTCTCAACTCAGATAGAAAGGTTAAAGGAGGATTTAGAAAATAAAAATGCAGATTGCCAGAGAATGCTTGACGAGAAGGAGAATCATCATTTAATGATGAAAAAGGACAGAGAACTGGAACTCGACTCAATAAGAAATCAAAAAAATGGACTTGAAGAGCAGCTAAGGGGTAAAATCCAGGAGGTTGTTTGTTTGCAGGGTGAAAAGGTTGAGATGCAAGATAAAATTTATGAGTTAGAAGGAGCAGTAACAGTCAAAGAGCATGAACTGTCCTTTTTACGCAAGCAATCTGAAGACAGAGAATGTGAAGCATCTTCTCAGATCACATCATTGACGGTTCAGGTGACCGATCTGCAAGAACAATTAGACACTTCCAATGCTCAAAAATGTGAATCAGAGGCCTTATACCTGATTGATATTGAAAAACTTAAAGGGGAGTTAGAGAGTAAAAGTCTAGATGTACAGAGATTGCTAGATGAGAAAGATGGTTTGGTAGTTCGGGTAAATGACCTTGAAGAGGAAATGAAGTTTCAAGGTGAACAGTTTCACAAATTGGAAGAGCAGATGAGGGGGGAGGAAGCTAGTTTTCAAAGTAGAGCAACTGAGATGGAAAAAACACTAAACGAGAAAGAGGTTGAAATCCTTTCCCTACAAAAGAAGTTGGAGGATGTACAGGTTGGAGATGACACCCACATTTCTTATCTGACAGAAGAAATAGACAAATTAAAAAATGAGGCGGACATCATTGAGGCCGATAGAGCTAAGTTGGAGATACAATTGGAAAATCAGAAGACCGAATCAGCACAGAAAATTGCTGATCTGGAAAGAAAGATCAAAGAGCAAGAAGATGCATTGCAAAAATTGATCGAAGAGCACAGACAACTCGAAATTGTTCTCCAGGAGAGCAAGATGAGTCTTGAAGTTGCAGAGATGAAAATAGGAGACGTGACAGAAGAGTTTCAGAAGAATCTCAATTCCAAAGACCAGAAAATCGAGGAAATGGAGGAGGAAATTGAAGATCTGAAGAGAGATCTGGAAATGAAAGGAGATGAACTAGGTAGTGTGGTGGAGAATATGCGTACAATCGAAGTGAAGCTTCGTTTGACCAACCAGAAGCTTCGGGTGACTGAACAGTTACTCAGTGAAAAAGAAGATGACCACAGCGTAAAAGCAGAGAAGTTATTGCAAAATCAAACAAATCTTGGGGAACAGATCTCATCCTTGTCAAGAACCGTAACAGCATACAAAGAAACTCAGCAGAAGATAACGGCAGATGTATCAGACACAGTGAATGAAACACTCTCTGGAATGGACATGTTTAGCATGAAGTTTGAGGAAGACTGGGGACACATAGAATCTCGCATCTATGAAATTTTGAATGAGCTTAAGGTAACTAAGAACTTGATCAAGGAAACGAGCCACGAGAAGGAGAATCTAAAGAAGGAAAACGGAAGTCTTCTTCAGCAACTGAGAAACAAAGAAGAAAGTGAATCAGTGTTGAAAGAGAAGGTTAGGACATTATACAAACTTGAAGAGAACTTCGAAGCACTACAAAAAACAGTTGACGAGAAGGATAAAAAAATGGGAGAATTGGAAAGGACAATGGGTGAAAAAGATAAAGGGATCACAGATATAGGTGAGGAGAAGAGAGAGGTGATAAGGCAATTGTGTATCTGGATTGACTACCACCGTAGTCGATATGATCATCTCAAGGAGACATTCTCAAAGATGAACAGTCGACGATTATCCAGTTGACTCGTGTAAGAATGCAAGGTAGATACGTACCCTTTCCTCAGTGTTTTAGTTTGTTTTTCTTCATTTGATAGTTTTCCCCTTTCTCTCGGTCTTTATTAGGCGGAAAGAACCTTTTATATACATTCATCTTATTTCTGTGCATCATTCTTTTGGGTGTGTATACTGTTGTAATTGAGTTGGTTTGCCTGTATTTATTCTTTTATTTCAAAACTTGTGAATCTGTTTGGCTGTGATTAGCCTGATGATATTAAACTTGATTATGGTAATATCAACTGTTTACTATAACTAACTTCATTTTTTTTACACAATTCTGCGCGCATCTCACCCTCCCCAGACTTGGGAAAAGAGAGACAGCTGATAGAGACCATTGGCTAGGTTTGATTGGTTGAGGACTTGAGGGTAGATGGGCTGATACACACACAGGCCACTTGCAGCAGAAAACAAAAGCAATAAGTGTTTCAAAAATAAAAGAAGGGATACTGGGAAGTGGGAAGTACTTCATAATGATATATGGTGGAACCAAAAATGTGACTTAAGTAACTTTAATACGTCATAATCACAGTTACTAAAGTTATTATTATAATCACCAATTATAAAGTTCATATTTTTGTAAATTATCTTTATTTTAGTCACATACTAATCACATTTGATCATTTTGTAGTAAAACTTCAATTGATCATACAAAAATGGGGAGTGAACTAAATATTTAAGGAACTCGTATTTTGAAATATAAATGCTAAAAGGCATAACTTTATATAACACCAATTATCATCTGTAAATAAAATTACACATTTGAGAAATTACTTTAATACTTCGTACCAACTATTTAAATATGCAATGGGAATAACATCGACTCACTTTCGTACATAAAAAACTGACTCTGGATGATCACATACTAACATAAGCGTATTTTAAAAAGAAGTAACTAATTTGCTGGGTTAAATACTTAAATTCCCTTGGAAAAATTGTTGGGTTAAGTGGCAGGATTTATAGTAAAGAGCTGCGTATTATTTTAAATTGTTAGTATTGTTCAAGGTTACTTTTAAAGTATTAATTACTGAATAGATGATAGGGAGTGTTATTGGTGATTAATATTTATTTTCCTTATTGTCAAATCTCTTTACGGACATGGATTTCAAATTGAGGTGGTACGTAAAGTACAGCTCTACCAACTGAAGACGAGGATACTTCATTAGAAATCACCCTTAAAAATGCTCATCTACTTTCTTTTTAATTAATGGTGTTTTTCATTTTCTCATTTGGTTTGATTTAGGATGTTTGTACTTGAACGAATTTAAACAGACTAGATCAGGTTAAAATAAATCAGATCAAATCTTGACAGTTGTAAAATACATTGAGACTAGACTTATATCAAACTAGTTCAAATTAGACCAAACTAGAAAGTTTCAAGTAAAAACATCTTTAGTCCAGGTCCGCTCTGCTATATGTATGATCTATGTGTACTTTACCATTGTTAATATCCGATCTTTATGATTAAATCAACTCTGGTCTTATCAAGAATAATACACTGGACTGCTTGGCTTGCACTGGACTGATTTTCTTCAGCATTTGGGCCTATCTTATATTTTATCGGGCCTTTAGTTATCTGTTGTTGATTTTTATGTATTAGGTATAAATACCTAAGGTTTGTTGTAATTAGGTTAAGCATTCATTTTATTCAATTCTTCTTCTTCCGCATTCTTCATCGAAAAGGCTCTGAACATACGAACTCATCTTCTTCATTTTGATTCCTAAATTCAAACTTTCACATGGTATCAGATTAGGATTCGATCCTTCTTCGTCCTACTGATATTACTCATCTTTTTCGATTTCTATAATCGAATTTCTCATTCTCGTCTGCAATATATCGATCCCAAAACCCTAATCGCAATTTTTTTTTGCGATGAGTCAGTCAACCTTTCCTTTAAATCCTACTGAGGATCCTTCGTCTCCATATTACTTACATCCTAGTGATCATGCCGGGCTGCGTATAATCTCTGAAATTCTCACTGGCGATAACTACAATGCTTGGAAGAAGTCTGTCGATATGACGTTCAGTGTGAAGACCAAAATGGTCTTCATTGATGGCTCTATCACTCAACCACAATCTGATGATTCTGCGACCTACTCAGTTTGGTATCGTATAAATGCTCTTTTACTCTCTTGGTTGATTTATTCTATTTCTCCTGATATCCGCTCCACTTTTCTATACTTTACTTCTGCTAAAGATCTTTGGGACGAAATTAAGCTTAGGTATGGTAAAAGTGATGGACCTAGGGTTTTCTATCTTGAAAAATCCTTAGGAAATATTTCTCAAGGAACTCAGACTATTACTGCCTATTACAATATGTTCAAAGGACTTTGGGACGAATACGTTGAATTTAAAACTCTTCCTCTCTGTTCTTGTGGTCTTTGTACTTGTCAACTCAATAAAAAATTTCAACTGTTGCTTGAGAAAGAATCTGTGCAGAAATTTCTTGTTGGTTTGAATGAGTCCTACTCTAGTTTGAGAAGTCAAATTCTTCTTCAAACTCCTATTCCTACACTCTCTGCTGTTTACTCTTTCTTTCTTCAAGAAGAGTCTCAAAGAATACTTCAACATCCACTTCATTCTATTCCTTTTCATTCTGATCCTCCTAATACCTATGATTCTTCCACTGACTCCACTGCCTTTCTAGTCAAAAATCCAAACTACAAAAAGAAATCTATCACCTGCACTCATTGCGGTTATCAAGGACATTATGCTGACAAATGCTTTCAAGTTATTGGCTACCCCTCAAACTGGAAAGGACCTAAAGGATCAAGAATTGCTCCTGGATTCAAACTGCCATCCACTACTAAGAATACTCAAGCTCATTTAGCCAACACAACTACTGATTCTCCTTCCGATGACATGGAGCTTTGTGATCCTACACTCTACAATAAGTTTCTTGAGTTTATGAAAACTCAGAATACTAATTCTGCTACTGCTCATGTTGCTATGGCTGTTCCACAACATGATCAACCTTCTAATGATTCTCTTTTTCTAGGTACTCATTCTGCTTTTCTATCTACTGTCACTACTTCTATTTGGATTCTTGACACTGGTGCCTCTGATCATATGACTCACAACTTTAGTTTATATACAACATCACCTAAAATTACTTCTATTAATGTTCAATTACCTACTCGTTCCTTTATAACTGCTACTCATATTGGTGACATAAAAGTAAATGATAATCTTACTCTTCACAATGTTTTATATGTTCCACAATTTAATTTTAATCTTATTTCTATCAGTAGTTTAGTTTTACATGAAAATATTTCTGTTCACTTCTCTTCTAATCATGCTACTTTGCAGGATCTGCTCACCAACCAAATGATTGGCTATGCTGATCTTCAACATGGACTTTATCTTTACAATTCTTCTAATTCTGTTCTCATACCTACTAAGTCTTCTGCTGTTAATACTGTTGATACTCAAACTGCAACTAATAATTCTGATATCTGGCATTGCAGACTTGGTCATTTGCCTTTTAATAAACTCAGTTCTCTTGTTGACTGTAATATTCAACATCATATCAGTAAAAATACTTCTTGTGATATTTGTCACTTTGCTAAACAAAAAAGATTACCTTTTCAAAATAGTACTTCTAATGCTTTACATGCTTTTGATCTTGTGCATATGGATGTTTGGGGTCCTTTTAAAATAGAATCTTATTCTGGTTTCAAATACTTTCTAACTATTGTTGATGATCATACTAGATGCACTTGGATTTTTATGATGAAAACCAAATCTGAGGTCAAATTCTATATGCTAAAGTTTTACAATCTGATTCTCACTCAATTTCATACTAAAATTAAAATTATTAGGACAGACAATGGTACATAATTTATTTTTCCTACTTTCTATACCGATAATGGCATCATTCATCAATTATCTTGTGTGGAAACCCCCCAGCAAAATGCTAGGGTTGAAAGAAAACATCAACATATTCTTCAAATTGCTAGGTCTCTTTTATTTCAATCCTGTTTACCTCTCCAATTTTGGTCTGATTGCATTCTAACTGTTGTTCATATTATAAATAGAATTCCCACTGCTGTTCTAAATAATAAATCTCCATATGAATTATTATATGGTAAAACACCTGATTATTCTCACCTAAGAGTTTTTGGTTCTCTTGTCTATGCTTCTACCTTATCTTCTAATAGATCAAAATTTGAAAAAGAGCTGTTAAATGTGTTTTTATTGGATATCCTCTTGGATCTAAAGGTTATAAGCTATATGATATTTCTAATCACAAATTTTTCATATCCAGAAATGTTAAATTCTATGAAATGATTTTTCCTTATAAATGTAATGCTGATCCTTCTAATGATAGTTCTATTCATTCTGACTCTGTATTAGATTCTTCTAATACTAATGATTACACTTATGAATATCACACACCTTCTAATCACTATTTAGAAGATCAGGTCAATCAAGAATTCAATACTATGAATACAAATGACCTTACTTCTAACAATGATACTGTTTCAGAAGACCAATCACAACGAAAATCCACCAGAGTAAGATCTCTTCCCATACATCTTCAAGATTACAGTTATGAATTACCTAACTCCATCATTACAGGTACCTCTTCTTCTAATTCTTGTAATCTTGTTAGATATCCTATTCAAAATCATATAACCTATAATAGACTAGGACATTCTCATTCTTGTTTTACTGCTGCTCTTTCCAAAATAATTGAACCTAAAACTTATAAACAAGCTGCTAAGTTTTCTGAATGGCAGAATGCCATGACTAATGAGATTCAAGCTTTAGAAAATAATAAAACTTGGATATTAGTTCCTCCTCCTACTAATCACAATATTATTGGATGTAAATGTGTTTTTAAAACAAAACTTAAACCTGATGGATCTTTAGAAAGATATAAAGCCAGACTAGTGGCAAAAGGCTATACTCAAGAAGAAGGGTTTGATTATTTTGACACTTTCTCCCCTGTTGTTAAACTGACCACTGTCAGAATCATTTTGGCTATTGCTAGTGCTAAAAAATGGTTTTTACACCAGCTTGATGTAAACAATGCTTTTTTACATGGTGATTTAAATGAAGAAATTTATATGCAGCCTCCTCCAGGTTATTTACCTCCAGGAGATAACAGGATTTGCAAGCTTGTTAAGAGTCTCTATGGTCTTAAACAAGCTTCTAGGCAATGGTTTTGTAAGCTTTCTGACTCTTTAAAATCTTTTGGTAATAAACAGCCTCAGGCAGATTTCTCTTTATTCATCAAGATTACTAGAAATTCTTTTACCGTTCTTTTAATATATGTTGATGATATCATTCTTGCTGGAAACAGTATGGAAGAAATCAATGATGTAAATTTTTTTTAAACAACAAATTTACTATTAAAGATATTGGTGAGTTAAAATACATTTTAGGAATTGAAATTGCTAGATCTGATAAAGGTATAAATTTGTGTCAAAGAAAATACACTTTAGACATTCTAACTGAATATGGATATCTTCATTCTAAACCTTATACTACTCCTATGGACTCAAAAATCAAACTATCTAAAAATGATGGAAATGTTTTAGAAAATCCTAAAATTTATAGAACTCTAATTGGTAAGTTGCTTTATTTAACTGTAACTAGGCCTGATATTGCTTATAGTGTACAAGTTCTTAGTCAATTTCTTGCTTCTCCCACTAATGTTCATTTAAGTGCAGCTCATAGAGTTTTGAGATACCTTAAGAATTCACCAGGTAAAGGTTTATTTTACCCATGCATTTCTGAGTTTTCTATTCAAGGATACATTGATTCTGACTGGGCTGCTTGTATAGATACTAGGAGAAGTGTTTCAGGTTATGCTTTTTACCTTGGTAACTCTTTGATTTCCTGGAAATCTAAAAAGCAACAGGTTGTCAGTAGATCCTCTACTGAAGCTGATTATAGGGCTGCTGCTAATGTAGTTTGTGAGGCTCAATGGTTATCTTACATTTTTACTGATTTACATATACCTATTTCTTTACCTATAATTATTTATACTGACAATAAATCTACTTACCATCTTGCTCATAATCCAATACAACATCAAAGAACAAAATATATAGAATTGGATTGTCATTTAGTTAGAGAAAAGATTAATTCTGGATTAATTACACTGCTTCATATTAAAAATAGTTTTCAACTTGCAGATATATACACAAAACCCAGGGCCGGTCCTGACAATTTATGGGCCCGGGGCAAAAGATAAAAAATAGGCCCCTAATTTTATATGTTGCAAAAATGTAATACAAAATTTCATTGTCAACCATAAAATTCGTTACACAGTAAATATTCAGGTCACAGAACTACATAGTATCATAAAACATACTCATACAAAACAATTTCTTCGGGCATTCTTAGAAGCAAAATCCTCAATAATACTATCAAGGTTAACATTATCTAGCATGCCCTTCTCAATACATAAAATCGCCAAGCCGTTCAACCTTTCTTGTGACATTGATGATCTCAAGTAAGTCTTCAATAGTTTCAACTTTGAAAAACTCCTCTCAGCTGATGCGACTGTCACCGGAGCGGTCAACAAAATTCGGTAAGCAATTGAGACATTCGGATAGCAATCCGCAGCTTTGACAAACTCTAGAATTTCAATTGCTGACATTGATACATTAGGCAAAGTGACCTGCAAGACTTTTAATTCTGAAAACAAATCATCTAAATCCACATCCACAACATCATTATGAGAGAATGTATTGACAAAATTAACACAACAATTTTTAAGCTCAATGGCATCCAGTGACTTCAACTTCACAGAAGTGTACAGAAATCCAAAAATACTTTCAAACAATTTTAATTGTTCAAATCTATTATTTAATGAAGCAATAGCCATATCAACAATAAATAAAAAGTAATTCACCCTAAAAGATTCTTCTTGAGACAGTAAGAAATCTTCACTATCTCCTTCATCAAACTGTTTTTTCCTAATAATACGTCTTTTAGTCACAAATGTAGGCTCCACATCCATTTCACATGCAATGGTTTTGGCAATATTGATACTCTCTGCAAAACCTTCAACTCTATATTTCTCAAAAAAATGCACCATACTTTCAACTTGATTCATTGTTGCATCAATGCACATAGATTTAAACTGTAACTTTTTGCTAACCGTATTAATCGCAAATAAAACATCATACCAAATAACCATACCAAGTAAAAATTCAAAATTTTCAAAAGCACTTACCAAACTTTCAGCTTCACTTTTTGTCTTCGCATCATCGCAAGATTGAGATAACTCAAACATAGCCAATCTAATTTGAGGAGCTTGGAATCTAATAGCTTTAACACTTTTTATTCGACTCTCCCAACGTGTATTAGATAAAGATTTAACAGTCAAACTTGGGACAGCATCAAGTAAAATTTTCCATCTTTTTGGAGAACTAGAAAATAATGTATATATGCGTTGAACAACCCCAAAAAATGAAACAGCTTTAACACAAGAATGAGCCATATCACTAAGGGTAAGATTAAGACTATGACACGCACAAGGCATATATAAAGCTCTAGGATTTATTTCAAGCAATCGGTTTTGGACTCCTTGATGTTTTCCTTTCATGTTTGAACCATTGTCATAACCTTGACCCCTCACATCATCGACATTAAGATCAAGAGTCTTAAGAGCATTCAGCAACTCATTAAAAAGTCCTAAACCAGATGTGTCTTCTACCTTTAAGAATTCCAAAAAGTATTCTTCAATTTTTATTTTAGTACCGGTCATATCCACACATCGTATTATTAAGCTCATTTGTTCTTGATGGCTCACATCCGGGGTACAATCAAGAATCACAGAAAAATATTTAGCCTCTTTAACAACTCCAATGATGGATTCTTTAACACTATCAGCCAAAAGAGAAATTAACTCATTTTGAATTCTTTTACCTAGATAATGGTAATGGATCTCATGACTTTGAATGCGTCTAATATGATCTTGCATTATCACATCAAATTCTGCTATCATTTCAATCAATCCTAAAAAATTACCATTATTATCGAAATAAAGTTTCTCATTAGTGCCCCTAAAAGGCAAACAATATTTAGCTAGACATTTCACAACAGCAATTATTCGTATTAAAACATTTCTCCAACGTTCTTTTTCTTTTAAAATCTGTTGTTGTAAATCATTATCGATGGCCTGATTTGTATTTAATCGTATAATTAGTTCATTCCAAGATGTCATATGACTCATATGCTCAACACTATTCTCATGCTCTTTTAATCTCGCACCAAGATGCTTCCAATCTTTATAACCATCAATAGCTAATGCATTTTTGTTTTGTTTAGACCTAAACAACTTGCAACAAAAACAAAATACTTTATCCACTTGTTTAGAATAAATCAACCATTTACGGTCTTTACTTTCACCATTACTTAACTTTCTAGTATAATAACTATACCCAAAATGTCTAGATGTTTGGTCTAAAGGAAATTCCAAATTTAGTTCTCTAATTGGTCCTTTCTCAACCAAAATGTCCCTCAATTTACTATCAACATTATCCCAGTTTGCGGGATCATAAATATCCAAAATGGGAGCTTGATTTTGATCATCATCATTTAAAGATTGATCATTATCAATGTCCTCATTATTCAAATTTTGATCAGATATGTTTTGCAAATTAGCAATCACAACTTCATTTTGTTCACCAACATTATCAAAGTTTTGTTCACTTGAACTGTCCAAATTATCATTGGAGGAACTGCCTACTTTAACAAATCTATCCATAGCTCCTTTTTGAGAATTCATGAACTCATCTGCTAACTTTCTTTTTTTTCTTTTTGCACTGCCAGATAAATATTTCTTAGGGGGCATTTTATACAATATTATAAGAAAATGACAGAGATAACCTGAAAAATATGAGGGAACCGCAGATATAAATCTTTAAATATGTAATCCCCTACAAAAAGAAAAAAACATTCATCAAACACATGAAATTCGTAATTAAAAAGCAAGAATGCAAAAAAAGAATCGGCCAAGCTTGTGGAAAGATATAAATTTGACACTTGTATCCTTAAAATTATAAAAAACATTCTAATTAATATGCTAACTAATTACAATTTATAAATTAAACCAAACCATTTACATAATTAGTAAATACCTGGAGTGCCGACGATGCTGCTCGTTCTCGTCTCTCACTCTGACAGGTGAAGATTGAATCGTTTGAGAATTGAGAGGCCTAGAAAGGATTGGATGATTGAGAATTTCAAATTTGAGAGCAGAGAACAAAGAAGCCTGAAGCGATTAACGGATTAAGAGAAGTGATTAAGAGAAGTGTGTAGTTAACTATAAAAAAACCGGAGATTTTAATATGATTTGTACCGAGGAAGCGGAAGGATCGAGTATTCGACGCTTGGGAACTGATTCTTGAATTGGGAATTCGAGATTGGTATTAATTTCTAGTTTTGGATTTGTGTGAGGAAGATTGAGAGTCGATCTGCTTCTACTTCTGGCGTGCGGCTCTGCTAAATCTAGGGAATGAGGGATTTTTTTTATCTTATACGTATGGAGGAGTATTAGTATTGACATACGGAGTAATTTTAATTTGGACTTTGGACATTTAACATTTAGTATTTTATATATATATATATATATATATATATATATATTATTATATACTACTATAAAATTTATGGGCCCTCTTGTCCTGGTGGGCCCTGGGCAGCGGCCCAGGCTGCCCCTATACCAGGGCCGGCCCTGACAAAACCGCTTGGAAATCCCTTGTTTAGTCAATTTGCAGTCAAGATGAACATGCAAGACATTCATGCTCATCTTGAGGGGGCATATCAAGAATAATACACTGGACTGCTTGGCTTGCACTGGATTGATTTTCTTCAGCATTTGGGTCTATCTTATATTTTAGTGGGCCTTTAGTTGATTTTTATGTATTAGGTATAAATACCTAAGGTTTGTTGTAATTAGGTCTATTTAAGTTTGATTCCTGAATTCAAACTTTCACAGGTCTATTTAAGTCTGATCTGATCTCGAATCGAAATCAATCTATTTAAATAACATGCTAAGTCAAGATAAACACGCTAATTACTCACAACAACTAATAACCCTAGTCAAGAAAAACGCATCTAGTCAAAAAGGAATAATATTTATTGGGACTATTCTATTTATTACGGAAGAAAGTAGTTCATCTGTAACCAATTATATCGACATTCAATAATTAAACACGTGCAATCTACGTTTTATTTAAAAAAAAATCATGATAAATGTCGATAACTTGGTGGCATAAAAATAAGTCCCATCTTCTTCGATCACTTCCTGGTACAAACATGAAGAGAGCAGAGGAAGGATGCGAGGGTGTTGCAGCTAATCATAATGTTGTCTGGGATTGTGGCAGTTTGTTTTATGATTCTTACGAGATTGTCTCCGCCACCCATCTGATCGAACGGAACATGAGGCCGCGGCCTCTCTCCGGCATGGAAAATATCAGGAGATCGGCGGATCAGTCGGAGGGGCGGCGGCAGGGAGAACGGAACGGTGATGATGACAATAATAAAAAGGTTGGGAGGGTTATTAAGAAGGTGTTTCATAAGATCTTAGCTCCAATCCGTTTCCATTTCTTGATCAAGAAATACACTCGCTAATTATGTTTGGACTTTGGACACCATCACATCATTGAACTTTTCTATTATATATCCATCTTATATACTACCTCCGTTCCTAAATAAACTTCCAACTTTTCTTTTTCGTTCGTTCCAATTAAAACTTCCATTTTCCCTTTTTGGTAAAGAATTTGTGGTTCACAACATTTCTTACACATTTCTCTCTCTTCTGTACAACTCTCCACCACACAATATCCACTATCTTAAACTTTGTGCCAAAAGCATTTGGAAATTAAAATGGGAACGGAGGTAGTACCTACTACAAAATGTATATTGAAGTTGCATGTATCTTCTCATCTTATTTTTCTGAATTATTCTTTTGTAATAGTGAAGCCGTTTGATAGCTTTGATTTTTATACGAGTATTATCTTTCTTTATATGCATGTCCTTTACAAAAATGTACGAGTCTCTTTACTAACAAAGATATTTTCCGATTATATGATCAACATCTTTAGAGACTTATTTTCCAGTTTTGAAAGGGCCTATCTGGTAGCACTAAAGTTGGTTGAATTGACTAAAAGTGATTAAATACTAGCTGAAGTGAAGAATTGACTGATTTTTTTACTTATAGAAATTTAAAGAATTAATTCCACTTTTGGTGCTACAAGTTTTGTGCCAAGTCCACATTTAATATATCCAGCAGGTCTTTCACTTTGTTCACTTTTGGTACTTGATTAATGTTTTTTAACCATTTGTAGTCCTTTTCTGGCGATTTTAACCATCGGAAACAATGCCGGAAGGATCATATATGGACGAAAACACAATAGTCATGTATCAAAAGTGGACAAATTCAAGGATGTGGACTAAATGTAGAATTGACCTAAAACTCGTAGGATCAAAAGTAGAATTTATTCTAATTTAAATTTAAAATATGTTTTATAATAAATTAAAGAAAATGTCATACGAAAAAACTAACATGAACGTCTGATGGATTATAGGGTATCCAAACATATATAAAATGGAGAGATTTGAGATAATGTGAGGAAGATTAGTAGAAATGATATTGTGTATGAATTATGAGTTGTGAAATTAGGTTTACAAGAACTCCCTAAGGGAGTATATATAGAAGAATATCCGGGTCTGGGCCTCTAATATGGGCCTGACAGACCCGGTTACATAAATGGACTGATAATATAAAAGGCTAATCTAGAACACCTGAACAATAATAATAATGTACAATAATGAAAATGCTATCAGCTGAGTGTACGTGGGCCGCTGTCTAGGTCCAATAGTCGTGAGACCCGGGGGTCCGAGTCAATATCCTCTATCAGGAGTCCCCCACTCTCTGAGTCGAGAGTATTCGAGGTGAAAGAGAGTAGAACTGTGTGCTGATCTGTCGTCGTCTGGTGAGTAAACTTCGTGAACAAAAATTTGAATTCCTGCTTCTTTGGTTAACGGAGGCGCTAAGTCCCCCGCTCTTCCAGTCCCCCACTCCTTGAGGCGAGTGTAATGAGGTGAAGAGGAGTAGAGTAATGCGTGTCGGATGATGTCTTCAACAGGGGGCCGAGAGTTGACACCTTTTGATCCACGATGGGGAGATGCCTCGTTAAAAACCTCATTAGGAAAAATCCTGTGGGAAAAAATCCTAATGAGGGAAAAAGAGTACACCGGATGCCCCCAAAATGAAACAAAAGGTGTGAACCCTTCGGCCTGGAGATGGAGCTGAAACGGTGCCCGTCTGCTGGGGCGATGGTCGAGGCCGATCTCTAGATGTGGGTAGCTCATCATGATCAGTAGTCCTAGTCATCAAATAAAGATGACTAAGGGATGGGTCGAGCGACCGTCCACAATATGATGTCTGGTTCATCAAATAAAGATGACCAGAACGTAAGGCCGATGGGCCGAGAGGCCTGTATGAGAGCTCCACGTTGTCGAATAAAGACGACGAGGCGATGTATGGCCGAGGGACCTGCATAGAGCTCCACGTCGTCAAATAAAGACGATTGGGCGATGTGTGCGGCCGAGGGGCCTGCATAAGAGCTCCACGTCGTCAAATAAAGACGACGGGGCGATGGTGCGGCCGAGGGGCCTGCATAAGAGCTCCACGTCATCAAATAAAGACGACGGGGCGATGGTGCGGCCGAGGGGCCTGCATAAGAGCTCCACGTCGTCAAATAAAGACGACGGGGTGATGGTGCGGCCGAGGGGCCTGCATAAGAGCTCCACGTCATCAAATAAAGACGACGGGGTGATGTATGGCCGAGAGAGGCCTATATGAGAGCTCCACGTCATCGAATAAAGATGACGGGGCGACGTATGGCCGAGAGGCCTACATGAGAGCCCCACATCATCAAATAAAGATGACGGGGTGATGTATGGCTCAGAGGCCTATATGCGAGCGCCATGTCATCAAATAAAGATGACGGAGCGAGATATGGCCGATGGGCCTTTAAATGAGTTTCGCGTCATCAAATAAAGATGACGAGGCGATATATGCCCGATGGGCCTGCAACTGAACTTCGCATCATCAAATAAAGATGACAGAGCAAGATGTGGCTCAGAGGCCTACAAATGAGTTCCTCGTCATCAAATAAAGATGACAGAACGATATATGGCCGATGGTCCTGTAGATGAGCTCTTCGTCATTAAATAAAGATGACAGAGCGATATATGGCCGATGGGCCTACAAATGAGCTCTTCATCATCAAATAAAGATGACAGAGCGATATATGGCCGATGGGCCTGCAAATGAGCTTCGCGTCATCAAATAAAGATGATGGAGCGATATATGGCTGAACTCTGGGTTCCTTTAGCCTTTCGGCCGAAGACCGCATGATGTTCGCTATAACTGAATAGGGGGACGAGGCGGTGGACGCCTGTCTTAATATGAGGACGACGATGCTGATGAGTCGGTCCGAATATGAGGACGACAACGCTGACGAACCGGTCCGAATATGGGGACGATGGCGCTGGTGAGCCGGTCCGAATATGGGGACGAGGCGATGATAAGCCATGCGTCATATGAAGGCGACGGTCACCATCCAGGAATGGAATGGCGAGCCTGGTCGCTAGATAAGGACTTCGGCGCTGGGGCCGGTCTAAATGTGAGGACGAGGCGATGATGAGTCGTGCGTCATATAGGGGCGACAGTCGCCGTCCGGGAAGGGATGGCGAGCCCAATCGCTATAACAAGACTTCGGCGCTGGGAGCCGGTCTTGAGATAAATAATCACGTCGCGGCCGAGAGGCTGATCGCGATGTGCGGATGACAATGATGAGGAGCCAGTCCGAAATATGATGACGAGGCGATGATGGAGCCGATCGTCATATAGAGGCGATAGTCACCATCCAGGGGGGGATGGCGAGCCTGATCGCTAGCCCAACACACTCGGCGCTGATGAAGCTGGTGTTGGGATAGGGTGTGACGTCGTGGCCGAGGGGCCGATCGTGATGCGAGGTCGTCAGCACTATGAGGCTGATCCAAAAGTCCAAGCAGCGGTCGCCATCCGATGAAGGAATGACTGAGACCGGTCTTGGGGATAGATAATCACGCCGAGGCCGAGGGGGCTATCGTGATGTGCGGACGGAGATGATGAGCCGATCCGATAATATGATGACGAGGCAAGAATGGAGCTGATCGTCATATAAGGGCGATGGTCACCATCCAGGAAGGGATGGCGAGCCCGATCGCTAGCTCAAGACTCTCGGCGCTGAGGAAGCCGGTCTTGAGATAGATAGTCACGCCGAGGCCGAGAGGCCGGTCGTGATGTGCGGATGGCGATGAAAAAAACCAATCCGAAATATGATGACGGGGCAATGATGAGCCGACCGTCATATAGAGGCGATGGTCACCATCCAGGAAGGGATGGTGAGCCCAATCGCTAGCTCAAGATCGCGTTGAGACCGAGGGGTCTGCCACGATGTGAGGATGACGGCGATGATGAGCCGTTCCAATAAATGATGATGAGGCCATGATGGGCCATTCGTCATGTAAAGGCGACGGTCACCATCCAGGAAGGGATGGTGAGCCCGATCGCCAGCTCAGGACTCTCGGCACTGAGGAAGCCGGTCTTGAGATAGATAATCACACCGAGGCCGAGGGGCCGGGCATGATGTGAGGACGACGGCGATGAGGGGCCGGTCCAAAAATCCATGCAACGGTCGTCATCCGGTAAAGGAATGACTAAGACCGGTCTCGAGATAAATAATCACGTCGAGGCCGAGGGGGCCGGTCGTGATATGATGACGAAGGCACTGAGGGGCCGGTCCGAAGATCCATGCAACGGTCGACATCCGGTAAAGGAATCACTAAGACCGGTCTCGAGATAAATAATCACGTCGCGGCCGAGGGGGTCGGTCGTGATATGAGGACGACGACGATGAGGAGTCGGTCCAAATAATGATGACGAGGCGATGGTGAAGCCGATCATCATATAGAGGCGATGGTCACCATCCGGGAAGGGATGGCGAGCCCGATCGCTGGCTCAAGACTCGCGGCGCTGAGGAAGCTTGTCTTGAGATAGATGATCACGCTGAGGCCGAGGGGCCGGTCGTGATGTGAGGACAACGGCGATGAGGAGCCGGTCCTATAATATGATGACGAGGCGCTGATGAAGCTGATCGTCATATAAAGGCGATGGTCACCATCCAGGAAGGGATGGTGAGCCCGATCGCTGGCTCAAGACTCGCGGCGCTGAGGAAGCCGGTCTTGAGATAGATGATCACACTGAGGCCGAGGGGCCGGTCGTGATGTGAGGACAACGGCGATGAGGAGCCGGTCCTATAATATGATGATGAGGCGCTGATGAAGATGATCGTCATATAAAGGCGATGTTCACCATCCAGGAAGGGATGGTGAGCCCGATCGCTGGCTCAAGACTCGCGACGCAGAGGAAGCCGGTCTTGAGATAAATAATCACGTCGGGGCCGAAGAGCCGATCGTGATGTGAGGACGACGACAATGTGGAGTCGGTCCAAATAATGATGACGAGGCGATGGTGAAGCCGATCGTCATATAGAGGCGATGGTCACCATCCGGGAAGGGATGGCGAGCCCGATCGCTGGCTCAAGACTCGCGACGCTGAGGAAGCCGGTCTTGAGATAGATGATCACGCCGAGGCCGAGGGGCCGGTCGTGATGTGAGGACAACGGCGATGAGGAGCCGGTCCTATAATATGATGACGAGGCGCTGATGAAGCTGATCGTCATATAAAGGCGATGGTCACCATCCAGGAAGGGATGGTGAGCCCGATCGCTGGCTCAAGACTCGCGGCGCTGAGTAAGACGGTCTTGAGATAGATGATCACGCCGAGGTTGAGGGGCCGGTCGTGATGTGAGGACAACGGCGATGAGGAGCCGGTCCTATAATATGATGACGTGGCAAGGCGTTGGCGCCGGACTGAACATGTAGGACGGTGGAGTTGGTCCGAAGATGAGGGACGGCGCTGGGCACTCGTC